CCACCCATATGATCTGCCATGTTAACTAACGCCAGTGCTGCAGTGCCGCCGTGTTTACATTAAAAGGCCTGCAGGGACGGGCTATAGACACCAGAACCACTACATTAAGCTGAAGTGGTTCTGGGGACTATAGTGTTTCTTTAATGTGAGGTAAATTAGAGCTTAGTGCCACGAATAATATACTAGATTGCCTACTTACAACCAGATGAGGATGATGATGGGCTCTAGCTGCCGTCTGGCTCCACTGGTCTGGTGTAGAACAGACTCTCTGGAGGCGGTTTGTAACTGTGGTCACAAAAATCAATGTTCTGGGAGAACGCGAAGCAGCTCCATTTTTTTGAGGGCCCTTTACACAGCTCAAGGTCTGGGTCCCAGGGTCCACCTTCATGTTCCACCAATGAGTTTGTTCACAGGGGGTGGAGTGTGTAGGGGATATCCTACATATAGTAGAAAGAGGGAAGTGCTCATGCCATTGTACAGAACACTGGTGAGACCTCACTTGGAGTATTGTACACAGTACTGGAGACCGTATCTTCATAAGGATATTTATACCTTAGAGAGGGTTCAGAGAAGGGCTACTAAACTGGTTCATAGATTGCGGGATTAAAGGATCTTAACATTTATAGCTTGGAGGGGGGATATGATAGAAACATTTTAATATATAAAGGGAATCAACACAGTAAAGGAGGAGACTATATTTAAAAGAAGAAAACTACCACAACAAGAGCACATAGTCTTAAATTAGAGGGACAAAGGTTTAAAAATAATATCAGGAAGTATTACTTTACTGAGAGGGTAGTGGATGCATGGAATAGCCGTCCAGCTGAAGTGGTAGAGGTTAACACAGTAAAGGAGTTTAAGCATGCGTGGGATAGGCATAAGGCTATCCTAACTATAAGGCTAGGGACTCATGAAAGTATTTAGAAAATTGGGCAGACTAGATGGGCCGAAAGGTTCTTATCTGCCGTCACATTCTATGTTTCTATGTTTCTATCCTGATGTGTGTAAGGAATGCATTGTGTGAATCTGTGTTTGTATGTGTAAGGGCTGCGAGGTGTGTTTGTGTATGTATGGGATGCAGTGTGTGCGTCTGTAAGGGATGCATTGAGTGTGTGTAAGGGGTGCATTGAGTGTGTGTAATGAATGCATTGTGTGTTTCTGTGTGTGTAAGGGATGCATTGCTTGTGTATGTGTGTGTGTGTAATGCACTGTGTGTTTTTCTGTGTGCAAGGGTGCATTGTGTGTGATTGTGTGTGTGATGGATGTCAATCTCCCCCGTGTCAATTTCTCTCCCTCCATTTTCTTCTCCCCCCTCCTAGTTCCTTCTTCTCCCCTCTCCAATTTCCTTCTCTTTCTCCTCCAATTTCTTCTTCTTCCCTCTCTCCAGTTTGCTTCTCCCTCTCCCTTCTCCTCTTCCTTCTCCCCCTCTAAATTCTCTTCTCCCCTTCTCCAATCCATTCCTTCTTCTCCCCCCTTCCACCCTTCTTTCTCCCTCTCAAATTTCTCTCCTCTCCCTCCCTTTCCTTTCTCCTCCCCCTCCAATTCCTTCTTTCTCCCCCTCCTACAATTTCCTTCTCTCCCTCTCACAATTCTCTCAATTCTTCTCCCCCTCCACTTCTCCCTTTCTCTCCAATTTCTCTCTTTCTCCCCTCTCCACTTCCTTCTTACCCCTTCTCCAATTTCTCTTCTCCCCCTTCTCCAATTTCCTTCTCCCCCCCTTCCAATTTCTTTCTCAACCCCCCTTCTACCACTGTTGTAGCGTGGCCGAGCTCTGTATGTTCCACGGGTACAGGGAGCTTGTGTTTCCTGTACCCGGCCTGACTAAAAGGAAGTGCACACTCAGTCCGGCCAGGTACAGGAGACAGATGCTCCCTGAACCCGCGGACCATACAGAGCTCGGCCACGCTACAGTGAGGGAGTGACAGGAGGGAGCACTGAGCACTTCCCTCCTGTCAGCCCCTCTCCTCATGCTGCGCCCGGGCGGTACGCCCTCATGGACGCACCAGCCCGGGCAAAGCTGCAGCCGTCTGAGGCTCTCTACAGAGCGCTCGGGGGGCTGCAGCATGAGGGGGGTTGGCGCTCCTGGCAGCGCCCCTTCCGAAGGGGCGCCCTAGGCGGCTGCCTAGTCCACCTAACAGGTAGCGCCGGTCCTGATGCTAAGATCTTTTAACCTTTCCTGGGAGTAGTAGGAGGGAGTAGTGCCTTGGCGCAATTTCTGAGGTAGATATGTTCTTAATGGTAATTGGCTATGTGAAGAAAGAAGCTTACAATAAAATATAGTGCAGTTTGTCCCATACATGTAAATGTATAAAAAGAAGAAATGGACTTACAGATTGTAAAGCTTGAGTAGCTATACTTTGATGTACTTGGGCTAGGTAGGATGGAATACCTCATTATGTTTCCCACCAAAGGAATGTGTATCTGCACTCCAACAAAAGGATCAGGATAAGTCTAAGCATATATTACAATTAATTACTTTATTCAACAAACTGATAAAAAATAATAAAAGTAGTACAATAAAGTAAAATGTGTTTCATCTTCAAAGAGCCTTTTTTCAAAAGTTTATTATTTTCATCAGTTTGTTAAATAAAGTAGTTAATTTTTGTTATAGTTACATAGTTACATAGCTGAAAAGAGACTTGTGTCCATCAAGTTCAGCCTTCCTCACTTATGTCGTTGCTGTTGATCCAAAAGAAGGCAAAAAACGTAGTCTGAAGCGCTTCCAATTTTGCCACAAACTAGGAAAAAATTCCTTCTTGACCCCAAAATAGCAGTCAGATGTCTCCTTGGATCAAGCAGCTATTACCCCACTAATTAGAAATTATATCCCCGTATGTTATGTTTTTGTAAGTATTTATCCAATTGCAGTTTAAACCTCTGTAGTGACTCTGACAAAACCACCTCTTCAGGCAGAGAATTCCATATCCTTATTGCCCTTACTGTAAAAAAAACCTTTTCTTTGCCTTAGATTAAATCTCCTTTCTTCCAACCTAAATGTGTGACCTCGTGTCCTATGAATAGCCCTGTTTATGAATAGATTTCCAACTAAAGGTTTGTACTGGCCCCGAATATATTTGTATAAAGTTATCATATCCCCTCTCCGGTGCCGTTTTTCCAAACTAAACAGATTTAATTTTTTTAACCTTTCTTCATAACTAAAATGCTCTATTCCTTTTATGAACTTTGTAGCTCGTCTCTGGACTTTTTCTAGTGCCATGATATCTTTCTTTAGAACAGGCGCCCAAAATTGCACAGCATATTCAAGGTGTGGTCTTACCAGCGATTTATACCGAGAATTTATGCCCCTATTTATACATGACAAAACCTTACTGGTCTTAGCAACTGCAGATTGACATTGCATATTGCGGTCTAATTTGTTATCTATAACAATTCCCAAATCCTTTTCGTGTGTGGTTATCCCTAATTCACTACCATTTAGTGTGTAAGTTGCTTGTGCATTCTTAACCCCGAAGTGCATAACTTTGCATTTCTCTATGTTAAATTTCATCTGCCATTTTAGTGCCTAGTCCCCCAATCTATCCAAATCTCTCTGCAGCAAAGCAATATCCTGCTCACATTTTATTACTTTACAAAGTTTTGTGTCATCTGCAAACACTGATACATGGCTTTCAGTGCCTATTTCAAAATCATTTATAAATATGTTAAATAGAAGTGGTCCCAAAACAGAACCCTGAGGGACACTACTTACCACTTTTGTCCAGCCTGAAAATTTACCATTAATTACAACTCATTGTACTCTATCCTTAAGCCAATGTTCTACCCAAGAACAAGAATATTCATCTAGACCAATTTATTTTAGTTTGAAGACTAACCTATTGTGAGGAACTGTATCAAATGCCTTGGCAAAATCCAAGTAGATCACATCTACTGCAACACCCTGATCTATACTTCTACTTACTTCTTCGTAGAATGCAATTAGGTTAGTTTGACATGACCTATGTTTCATAAAACCACGCTGATTATTGCCAATAACAAAGTTCTTTCCAATGAATTCCTGAATATTATCCCTTAATAGCCCTTCAAATATTTTCCCAGTTACAGAAGTTAAGCTCACAGGTCTATAATTTCCAGGCAAGGATTTTGAACCCTTTTTAAATATAGGAACAACATCTGCCTTCCTCCAATCCTCCAGTACAACACCTGAAACAAAAGAATCTTGAAAAATTAAATACAGAGGTTCACTTATTTCCCCACTTAGCTCCTTAAGTACTCGTGGGTGAATACCGCCAGGCCCCGGAGCTTTATTTACATTAATTTTCTTTAATAGCTGTAGCACCTTGTCTCGAGTCCAATCACAAGTTATTTGCAAGTTTTTTGCAGCAATCATTTGCATATCTCTTGCCATAGGATCCTCATTAATATATACTGAAGAAAAATAGTTATTTAAAATTTCTGCTTTTTCCTGGTCTTCATTAGCTAATAAACCCAACTCTGTTTCCAGTGTACCTACACTTTAATTTTTTGTTTTTTTAGAATTAATGTACTTGAAAAAATTTGGGGGGTTGGTTTTGCATTCTTTAGCTATCAATGTCTCATTTTCTAGTTTAGCCACTTTAATTGCCTTTTTGCAAGCGTTATTGGCTTCCTTATATCTTAAATAGGATGCCTGTGATTTGTCTGATTTAAATGCTTTAAATGCCCTTTTCTTATTTTTAATCTCCTGTTTTACTTCTCTACTAAGCCACATTGGTTTTAATTTGTTTCTTTTATATTTATTACCCAATGGTACATACTGAGAAATGTACCTTTCTAATATTTGTTTGAATAGTTTGCATTTATCCTCAGTGTTTTTATCACTAAGGAGTTTATGCCAGTCGATATGTTGTAGAGATGCTCTAATCTTATTGAAATTGTCTTTTTTTAAATTATGTTTTAGTATACCCCACCTGCTTTTGCTTTTTTGAGTTTATTTCAAAAGTTACCATATTGTGATCACTATTTCCCAAATGCTCCCCTACTTGAATGTTGGTTAAAAGATCACTGAACTGTATTAAGCATATAGTTCTCGATAATGTCCTACTACTAGACATGATTGTGTTTTTGTTAACTGGGCTATATCTTAAAGGGAAAGTATGGCTTAGAGTAGAGTGTAACTTCCTTTAGTCCACAGTGGTCCTTATTCAATCGTCTGCAACTTTATTGAACAACTTCATATCTCATTAGTCAGCCTTCTTAATTATCCTTCAGGCTGCAGCGTGAGCTGTAACATTTTCATAAGGTTATACTTTTTAAACTAGTCTGCACACATCTGTTTCTACAGCATATATTAATCTCCAACTGATGCCGTATACAGGTAATCTTCATGTCCTTCCATTTTTAGACATTTTAAGGTGGCCTAATGATGCAAAGTTTTTAAAACTCTATATGCATTTTTTCAACCCCCCCTCCCTGTCCAGCCGTTTCATATAGTAGTTATCCTGTTTTATGCTTCTGTTCACTGAAACCACTTGCATAAATGTACAGCTAGTAATACTCAAATATATATTTGTCCAAATATTTTTTTAGCTCTCAAGGCCTTGCAAGAACCGTTTTTACAATACTGTTCCACTATAGTTCCAAGGAGATGTATTGCAGATCTTTGGAGTTGCAGCGCATATGAAATGTATACTTTCTTTTTTTTTTTTGTTACTAACTTTGTAACCGCATGAATTGAAAAAGTGATCAAATATGACATTAAAAGTCCTCCTTTCCAAAAAAAAAAAAGATCAACATTGTTTGTTATGACGAGATCCAGACAAACATCCTTTCTAGTTGGTGCTTGAACCAGTTGTGACATAAAGGTGTCATTTAACACATTCAAAAACCTGATTCCCCTTGCTGAAGTACTAGTCCCTCTATCCTAATTTATGTCTGGGTAATTAAAATCTCCAATAATTAACGTGTTACCTCGATTTGCAGCTCTCTAAATTTGTTTTAACAGCTGTTCTTCCTCAATAATATTTACATTAGGTGGTTTATAACATATCCCAACCAATAATTGATTTCCTTTTTGTTTGCCCCAAGCAGTTTTCTACCCATAAAGTCTCCACATTTTCCTCGTCACACTCCACATGCCTAAGGTTTGACTTTAACTCATGGTTGACATATAAACATACCCTACCACCCTTCTTGTTTCTCCTATCCTTCCTAAATAACGTGTACCCATTTAAATTAACTGCCCAGTCATGTGTCTCATTCCACCATGTTTCTGTTATGCCTATTATATCATATTGTTTAGTGTATGCGATTGCCTCTAGTTCCCCCATTTTGTTATATAGGCTCCTTGCATTAGTAAGCATACATTTAATATTATCATGAGTCTTTTGTACTTTTTGTGAATTATCACTTGAACTTACCTTCATCCTTTCGTTGGACTTCAGACACACATTCCTTTGGTGGGGATAATACCAGCCAAGTGCTGTGGATTGAGCAAAATATTATTTTTGCTCCTCGCTAGTGAGTACCTCTCACTACCTCTCAATTATTTTACTGCAGTATAGTATTAATCAATGAGCAATATATATTATTATTTCTGTTTCTATCAGCATATGTACTACCAAAATGCCTACAAGCCTGTAAGAGCCTTTGGTGGGGTTTATAACACCATAAGCCATCCTACCTAGCTGAGGGCCCCATGCACTGAGCACTCTATTAAAACAAGACACCAGTTATCCCAAACAGGAGTCATACTGTGCACCAAGCGCATCAAAGATGAGCTCCTCAAGCTCTACAATCTGTAAGTGCATTTCTTCTTTTTATATATCTACCTGAATGGGACATACTGCACTATACTTTATTGTATTCCTCTTTTCCTCACATGTGCAATTACCACTAAGAACATATCTATCTCAGAAATGATCCCAAGGCACTACTCCCTTACTGCACATACCTAAAATCTGTTAATTTTTTTCTTTTAATATTTGTACTAAATTTTTCCATCACTTATGTGTGGGTGCTGATGGAAAATGACATTGGGATGTCCCCCCATTTATTAAACAATGGTCCTTATTTGCTGCCTATGGACGTAGTGATGGGCGAACAGTTTAGTGTACCACCACCTAAGTTCAGACCACCTCCCTCCAGTGAAGGGGTCAGGATTGGGAAAACCGACCTCGCCACTGGGCATTTGAGAAGACTGATTGCCAGCCTCCTGCCATGTGACTATGGCCCCTGGGATGTATTGCCCTTTAAAGACATGATTTGGGCATAATGGATTTGTGTTGTGCTGCTGCTGGCCCTTTAAGAACCATCTGGGGACATACTGTGGAGTTACTGGGTGGCCACCATTTCATGTATCAGAGGCACATGGTGAGAACAATGGATGAAGCACATGGTGAGAACAATGGATGGCGGCCATTTTAACTCACAGACACTGTTTGGACTTTTCAACACGGTGCCATCTCGCCAGTATTTGGTACACAGAGACATCGTGCAGTGGTTTTGGACTATACAACAGGGGACACATTATACAGTAATTGTTTTTCATATAACCTGCATATGTTCTGTGGAATCTGCATTAAACTGTATCTTCCAAAGTACTGAACGGATCTGGGTGAATTTTGGATATGTGGTTCACCCAGATCCCCCGGTTCCGAGGATATACTTTTATGGGGTTATTGCTTGTTTTGGGGTACCTGTGATGTGTTTTATGATAGTGTATTTCTCTGCCTGTGATAATTAGATTAACCATTGTGTTCAGTAATCATATCACAGGCAGAGGGGAGGATTTTGTGTGGGAGTGTCTGTGTGTATTGTACGGATTGATTGGTTGTTCTGTAAAACCCTGTGGGCAGTACTAAGTTTGTGGAATGGGAATAAAAGAGGCTGTATGTGCCAGTACAGTTAGTTCTACTTGACCTCAAAACAAAGTGTCGTCTCGTTATTGGGGGAATTGGATTGTATGCTGATTGCCAGGAGTGTAAGCTGATTGTATGCTTTTCCTGTTCAGCTGTTTACAGCATTCATATGCTTGAGAGCATTCGTATGCTTCTACGGTTCGGTGGTTGTGGTGTCTGCTGCAGTGCTTGGAGTCCTCAGGAAGCGCTAGGAGCATCCTTCAACGGAGGTACCCAGTCGGGGTGCCAGGTGATCCGTTACATATGTTTTCCCATGTTTTTTTTTTATTTTTATAGTGTCCCTACCAACTATTCACTGTGAGGGCAGCAGGGGTGCGGACAGTGGCATGTCCACCCTATTATTTAATTTTAAACTTTATTTAAAATTGCTTAAATTTTAATTACAGTAAGTGGCCAGCCTAGTAGGCATGCCCCCAACCCAGGGCATGGCAAATAGAATTAAATAAGAGTCATGTGAACAGAACTGTGGTGGCAGTCCAACAGTCCAAAAACACAGGGACTGGAAGGCAACCACCATCAGTATCTTGCCAAAATTAATCTTCCTGAATAGGGGTAACTCAATAAGAAATATCAGGACTAGTCTTCAGTAGTGAGATACACCCTCCAAAATAATTACTGACTGTATGGGCACTTACAAAGATTGGCTCTAATCTCATATATACGCCTCCTGATCGTCCCCTAATGCTAGGAGCACAAATGGCTAATTACATAGACTGGCTATTTATAGGAGTATTGACAATAATTATTATTATGGGAAAGCATTGAATTGACTGAAATGATAAATTCTGATGATGTCAGCATGGGGGCGGATAAGGGAGGGACCAGCGCCGGCGGACTTGCGTTGCACTGGAAATAAGGTATGTTTTCTTACCGTTTAAGGGGGGGGGCAGGCTAACTAAATGGTGGTTTTAACACTATAGAGTCAGGAATACATGTTTGAGTTTCCTGACTGTATTGTGTTCCTTTAAGTTGTACCATTTCTCCCCGTAGTTCTTTGGTGACTTTCAGGTGTTGGGCCCAGAACTTTTTCTTGTTTTCAAGAATTAAAGGATCACTATAGGGTCAGGAACACAAACATGTATTCCTGACCCTATAGTGTTAAAACCACCATCTAGCACCCTGGGCCCCTCATGCCTCCATAAATATAGCAAAATCTTACTGTATTCAAGCCTGAAGCTGTAGATTTGCATACTGTTTGCCTCAGAAAAACAAGCAGTCTGCTGACATCATCAGAAGTGGTAGCCTGATCCAATCACAATGCTTCCACATAAGATTGGCTGAGACTGACAAAGAGACAGATCAGGGGCAGAGCCAGCATGATTCAAACACAGCCCTGGCCAATCAGCATCTCCTCAAAGAGATGAATTGAATCAATGAATCTATGAGGAAAGTTCAGTGTCTGCATGCAGAGGGAGGAGACACTGAATGTTTGGATGCATTTTAGGCAGCCATGACCGAGGAAGGATCTCTAACAGCCATCTGTGGAGTGGCTCTGAAAAGACAGTGTTTACAGCATAAAGCCTGAAGGTAATGATTCTACTCACCGGAACAAATTCAGTAAGCTGTAGTTGTTTTGGTGACTATAGTGTCCCTTTAAATTAGGCCTTAAATATCAGGTTGTAGGAAAAAAAAAAAAGATTGGACACTTAAGTACTTTAACTCTATAAGAAATTGTCCACAGATGATATTCATAGAGACACAAGAATTCAGAAGTGCAAACAAACTGTTGCAGAACAATTTAGATAATTTTCTACTATAGACTCTGATGAGGGATTTCATCTTATGGTTTTTAGTATATTAGCTGAAAAGTAATTACACTGAATTGCAATAAGAGCCTTTTACAGGTGTAAGGAAGGTAATGATGAATTGTCTAAATCTCAAATGATAAATAGAGTATAATCATCATGATGGAGAAAATTCAAGGTTTAAACATCAACAGGGTAAAATAGTGACCATGGATGGGGCAAGGGTGGATATTAGGATGTCCAAATTGTTGTTGTTTTTTTCAATAGCCCCAGGTGGGGGCCACTGCTGGGGACAGGCTGGTGTACACTGATCTGTCTGTTGTGGGAAATAGACATGAACTAGACATTCTATAGTTTTGTCTTTTATTTCCATCCATGAGCAGTCACTGAATAAGGAGTAATATAATTGATGGCTTATCCATTACATAAATTGTTCCCCCTCTTATTTAACAAGCTCATTCCCAAGGTATCGGGCCTTTCTAGCAACAGGGAAGCCAAGTCTGCCTTGTTGCTAGTTTATAGTTACAGTGAATATCCACTGGCTGTTCACCACTTAGTATCCATGCATTTACCCACCACAAGGCAGAGGGGGCATAAAGCAAGCTAAAAAAATTTCTTTTATACTAACATAGGGGTCATATTGACCTCAGTAGACTTATTTTCTTTTTTTTTTTTTGCTTGCTGGTAAGCTGTCACATGGTTAAGCCCCATAACGCAAGGGGTTTTTTTTGTTTTGTTTTTTAACTGTTTCAAATAGTACTTCAAATTAATGTTTGATTGCCCCAAAAATCTGAGTCACTCTAGCATGTAACCCATCACCGACTAGATATGGATGAGAAGCAGAGGAAAATAGTGCAGGTTGTCATCATGCAAGATCACAGGTGATAAGCTACAGGTGGGTAGGGCTGCTGCCTACATTGTCTGTTTTATAACAGACAACTCACTTAGTAATAGATAAGTAATACTGCAATTCAGTTTTTAATTCACAAGAATTCATTGTTTAGTAAATAAACCATTACAGGTGCTTGTTAAAAAATATATATATATATATTTTAGGAATGCCATAACTCTGCTCTCAAAGAGTTAATGCAAAATTTTTAGAACACAATACTTTGAGATAGC